CGGCCTGCACACTGAAGAGATACAGGTTCCATTCCTGGTCAAGGGCACGTAAGTACCTGGGTTGCACGCTTGATCCCCAGCCTGAATCAGGAGTGCATGTGGGAGGTAACCAATCCATGTTTCTCTCTCTCTCTCACCCCACTTTCCTACCTTCCACTATCTCTAAAAATCAATGGGAAAGATAGCCTCGGGTGAGGATTAACAACAAACAAACAAACAAAACAACTGACTGGATTTTGATGTAAATTATTACGAATAACCTTATAGAGCTTTCTAGGCTACAGTAAGAACAAGAGTTATAAAATATTATCATGAAAACCATGAAAGGTCATTATATTTTGTCGGAAAATTTTTCTCATGAAGAATCATTTTAAACCACTTATCTACGTCTTTGGACTTAGATTTGTGACAATTACAAATCACTTATTTTTTGGTGAGAAAAAGGAGCGGAAAGGAAATGTGAGAGCTATTTTTAACAAGAAGTCTCTGGGGGTGCTAATTTAAATGCATAAATCTTGAAATTAAATTTTGTAGATGTTTTCTCCATTTTATATATTTTATCAATATATAATATAAAATCTGACTAAAAATATGCTCTAGCATAGATAAAAGGAAACACAATCCAGCAAATAATCTGATGTGCTCCTTTCTAAGGTCCTTTATTTTTATTTATTAATTTAATTTTTTTAAGGTCCTTTATTTTTGAAATAAATGTAGACAAATACTCATTTTTGAAGGAAATACACCCTCTGAGTAATATTTAGGGAAAAGCATAAAGCTCTGTCCCCCTTGTCCGCCCTTCAGAAATACACTACACGCTCTAGAAACTAGTTTTCAAGGAGAAGAGGGGAGAGGTTATGAAATAAGATTCGCTGGAGAGAAGCCATGTAAGACTACTTTCCCAAGAACCGCTTGCACATGTTTCTGAATGTTTCATTATGGCGTCTTGCCTTGTCCTCTGCCCCAGCAGTGGAAACCGGTTCAGGTAGATTCATTTAGAAAAGAAAGGGTAACCCACGTCTTTATGTTCTTTATGCCTAAGGCTTGTCCAGCTTGGAAGCCTGTCTTTCCTTACCTCTGTTTTTCAGTGGAGGCAACGTGGGGTGCAGATCTTTATTACATTCATTGCGTTCTGTGCAGCATTCAATTGATCTCCTTTGGTGAGGAATGGGAGTGTCCTAAAATTAAACCCGAAAAGCTATTAGTGGGTGTCCCCTAAATGTCATAGGCACATAACCTCAAACTTAAGAAATTAAGACTATTTAGGTAACGTACTTAAAACTGTTGCACAAACATGTTGAAAATATTGTTTACTTTTCGGTCATTTCTTTTAAATTATCATGTATTACCTTACTGCAATGTCTGCACTTCAACAAAATTACTACTACATTTGTAATAACCGGTGTGCACAGTGTAAGCGCACGAGGAAAGCTAGGCATAATGCAGTTAACTAAACTGGAATTTGAGCAAGAAGGTCTAATGAGACACTAAGCTAGAAATTAACAGCAAAAATAAACATCATATTTCATTTCAAAGTGAAGGGAGAATTGGCCCAATGAAAATGCTCAAATTATTTTCCAAATCACTAAAAATAGGCTAGCGAAACAAACAAACAAACAGAAAACCCCACACAATTGCTTTCTCTTATTGAAACTTGACTG